AAAATTTTTTTTTTTTTTTTTTTTTTTTTTTTTTTTTTGACCAGTAAGGGGAATGCAACCCTTGGCTTGGTGTCGTCTGCACCACGCTCAGCCAGTGAGTGCACCGGCCATCCCTATATAGGATCCGAACCCACGGCCTTGGCGCTACCAGCGCCGCACTCTCCCGAGTAAGCCATGGGGTAGGCCCTTACTTATCTTTTTTAATTTATGAAGAAAAATATTATGATAGAATATTAGGGCTAGAAAGAACGTTAAGATATTCTATTCCAAACAGTTATGTAAAGCTTGAAACCTCGTCTGTCTCTTCCCTGTCTCTTCCCCTATTCTATTCCAAACAGTTATGTAAAGCTTGAAACCCCGTCTGTTTTAAACCTCAGGAATGATGACTATAATAGAATAAAAGTAAGTCTATCTGTAGTGAGTTTACTTGTATAGGTGCTATATGGGAATAGATGAAACAGAAGGAGAGAAGCTGAAACATTTTGAGTTTTGAATATGTTTTACTAGATTGTTTAGTATGATAAATACAGTAATCATCATACTAGCTAGATTCCCAGTCAGAAGACAGAAACAACTGATATTGTTACTCCCAGCTTCCTGCTAAACACATATGAAGATGGTGAAATAAGCCTCTAGCAACACTGAAAAGTAAGACTCGCTGAAAACCTAGTCCCAGGACTGAGAAACCCCTTATATAATGAAGTTGGTGCTCAAATGAGCAAAATAAAATAAAGTCCATACTCTTTCTCTTGGATAGATCTTGCATGGACAAAAATGTCAAATATCCTTAAATTAATGTATAAATGTAGGGGATCCCATTAAAAATACTATTTGTTCCCTCACACTAGTCTGCTACCTGTTTGTTGTAAATGTAAAACATTCTTTTTAAAAATTAGCTGGAGAGAGAGGCAGTTAGTCCTACTAGAAAATAAAGCATTGAAATAATATGTTACATACACATGAAGAGAAAGACCAAAGGAAACATCTAGAAAATCCAGAAAAATATCAAAATAAATATCAAACTTCTATGAAGGCCTCATTTTCAAACCAGTGGCTTTTAAATTAGTGGTTTTTGAATAACTAGTTCCACATAATAATCAATAATATTAATACATTCTTCATTCCATACATGAGGATAAGTTACAAATGGATCAAATATTTAACTATAAAAACGAAAGCATACAGGTATTAGAAGAAAACATGGGTAGATTCTTCATAAGATAGAAGTACCAACAAATTCCCTGTCTATACTCAAAATGTTGCAAAGGACGTTGAGAAAACCAGAGAAAAGAAATAAAACTAGTTTATGAGACACAAAATGAACTTGGTAAATTCTCAAATTTCTTTTCAATGTTAAATTTCAGTGATTTCCTGAAAATTAACAGCATTACAATGATTCTTAGTATTCAAGTGTAAAATAATAGGTAAAGAAACTTCTGGTGAATTCAGTGGGGACTCGGTGAGTTAAATTCTTACTTGCAGGCTCGGTAAAAAGTTACAGCCGCAAATAGGATATTAGATTTTTAATTAAATGATGTTTGTCATGGTATTATATTTCCATACTTTCAATTCAAATATTCTAAAAGAACATGGTGTAAGCAATGAATTACCCTTTTTTATCTGTCTTGACTCCTTATACCATCTAAAGGTCTAGCTTTATTTTTAGTGGTAATATAATTCATTCTTAGAGATAATATAATCTCTTTAAGAGTAAATAATTTCTAAACTCGATTTCCTTGGGAATACATGTTTGGTTTACGTGGCTCAACTCTTGCTGTTTTTATTCAAACACATTTAAAAATGAATTAATCTGTAACTTCACTGTAGTTAAAAAGAACAGTGAAATTTCCATAAGCTGTAGAAGTAGGATTTGCATTTATAACATTTGAAATATACACTCATTCATCTAGCTTAGTCTTTCATCACCTTTGATGGGAGGTTTATAGATTTAAAGTAACAGTAGAAAACCTCTTTTATTGAGCTAAGAATGATTGAGAACCACAATAAAAATAGAGTATGTCCAGAGTTTCGATATCTTACAAGTTGTTACCAAAATCTCTGTGTATGCCAAATGTAAGGACCTTCACACTGTATAAGATTGTATATTTTTAGAAAGTGTATTCATTTAAATTAGCATTATCTATTAGCATCTATTTCACACAACAATGGTTCATTAAACTTACAGAGCTCACAAAGTCAAAATTGCAGATAACAGTGTTTATATGTCTTAATAAACAAAGCAATCTTTCAATGGGACTTTAGGCAAGTTATTTAAACAAATTGCCTCAATTTCCCCATCTCTAAAATGAGAAACATAGTAGCACTTAATTTATGGTAGTTTTCCAAGAATTAAATAAGATATTACATAAAAAATACTTAGCACAGATCCTGACATATAGTCAGTAGTCAATTAATATTAACTATTAATCATATTATTAGTTTTTATTAATTCTGGCATTGGGCCTTAGAGTGTTTTCATTTCCTCAAATAATAAAATATAAAATTTAAAAATTTATAAGAATTCTGAGTCAGGATGTTTTGCAGAGGGGCCATTTTCTATTTCTATTGTTGATGTTTTTAATAGTCTAGTACAGTATTCTCATCTGAGACAAAATGGCTTTGTCTTATAACAAAGAATAAAAAGAAAAAAAGTCAAAAACCCCTTATCATCAAGAAGTCATGTTACTCTTTACAATCAGACATTCGTCACTTGGAAACCCTCACTATTGCAAATGGCCTGAGGCTCATCACTCTTCCAACCTCTCAATACTTGCCCAACAGGTAGAGTTTTCTCTTCAAAGTATGGTCTCATAGCCACCTGCATCTGCTTTCCAGAAGGTGCTGCTTGAGCATGCACATTCCTGGTCCCCAACTCAGACTGAATAAATCAGAATCTCTAGGGTTGGAGCTCAGCAAGTTCCATGTCTTAGAAGTTTCTTGGGTGGTTCTTATGCATAGTAAAGGTTGAAAAATTCTAATCCATCAGAACATAAGCAAACACTGTCAGTTTTGTCTTCAGGTTTTCACAACTGGGAGCAGATGCCCCTTTCTTTCACAAATAAACTTTGGTTTTCCTCATGGATCAATTAAGCAAAGGAATAGTTTTTATTGGCAGTAGTTTTAAGAGTCTAAGCAGAGACCTGAACTTTTATGGTCTAGAAAAAAATACGTAAGAAATTAAGAGATCAAAACTTGCTTTACTTTCTTCTTCTCTGTAAAATGTAGTAAGACTTGAAAAAACTCATGGTTTTATGATTCTTTTCACTCTGGGAAACCCCAGCCAACACTTTTAACATTTTCTCAGTTCTTCCGGCCTATTTAGAGGAAACTTCTTACCTCAGGATAAAATGTGTTTATTTTTATAGGGTTTATGATATTTGAGGGGAAATAACAAATGCACTTATAGTTTAGCATAATGTAATTTTTTGTTCATAAGCAATTCTGAAAAATTGATAATCAGTAAGACATTAAGTGATTACTTTCTGCTATTAAAATTGTATTCTGTAAATATTTACTGCATTAAAAATTATTTTTGTGTTTTACAGGAATTGTACTGCCTCCTGAAGGAATTATAGATATCCCAGTATTATTTTTGCCCCAAATTATGAAGTTACACAAAACACTGGCCATTGTTCAGATGATGAAAGTAAATAGAGAAAATTGGCCTATTGACAATTTTGATGAATTGGATACAGAGACTAAAAGGTAACATTTAATGAAGACACTAAAGGAAAATGATTTCTTTTTGACCTGCACTGATGGGATAGGTTTCTTTTACATGTTATACAATGTAAAGCTCATGATTTTATATCCTCTAAACTGCTGAAATACATATGTTTAGAGGAGGAAAATGTATTTGTTGTTTGGGATTCCTTTTTGACTGGGCAAATGGTGACTACTAAGACAGTAAATAATCAGTATCCAAAGGACAACCTAAAATAGCTTGCCTGGGCAAACTACAGAACTTGTGATACTGGCATCCATCAAGTGATGGCACTGTGCCAGGTGCATATGACATCCTGATGAAACAGTGCCATGACTAGTGTATACTATGTCCTTTCCAGAATGAAGGTTATTTGTACCCTCTTAGTTTAGGTGAAATTTAAACAAACTCCAGTAATGGTTCAAAATTTAAACATTTTCTCTGCTCATATACTTGAATTAAGTGATGGTCCGCAAATCTCAATTAAAAAGAAATTTTTACATTGTCTTACATGTTCATATTTCTTCTCCAAATTTAAAAGACTTCTCTACTGTGGGCCTATTCTAGGATTGCTATTTCACAACTCTTACAGACAAAACTGGCTACATAATTTGTGGGTACCGTTGAGAAATGTGAATGATGTGATCCTTGTTTAAAATTATCAAGAATTTCAAGACAGTTACAATAGTGCATTAAACAAGCATGGAGCCCTTCTAAGTGTGGGGTCTTATCTGATTGTCCAAGTCGCCTGCACAACTGGTATTGCCTGCGGTGTTTTGCATTTCATTTTAACAAGAAAATTCCATCTTCCACAATGATCAGAAACATTTTCTAGTACTGATGTTCTCCTAATAGTGCATGATAAACCTATAATATTTGAACAAATGTCCTCTTTCTTTTAACTGGTATCCCCCAAAAGTAATTTCTTCATCACTTTCTGAAGTCCTGTACTTCATGTCGTTGTTTTGTGCTTTGCCTGTTCATTTTAGAATTTAATCCATGAGGACTGTATTACCTCTCATTAATCACAGTTTAGTCATGTCAATAAATACCAATGCCTAACTTTAAAAGTAGGGGGGAAAGCTCTTCAATTTTAACTTACATCTTACGGTGGTTTTATTACAGTATTTTTTGTGTGTGATAATTTCCCAGGATTTGCTTGGAAATACTTATAAAATCAACATCTGCTAAAAATGTTCTCTATTTCATCAGTTTCTCTTTGCCAAAGTTTAAATTCACAAGCTTTACTAAAATACCATTAGGTTAATAAAGAATAAGGTATTTTATGATAATATTGAAAGTGTTCCTGTCTTTTGCTCACTCTTAATATTTCTCATTTCTAATTAGAACTATGGGAGTAGACAGAGGAGAAATTCAAACAATACACTGGATATACCCTATTCTTGGACTCCCTCAGGCGTCACATCCTAAATCTTCTGAGGGTAGGTATATATATTTTAGAGTCAGAAAACATCAGAATTTGAAAGGACCTTAGACTTAGACGTGCTCTAATCCCATCTCTTTTTTATTCGACATCCAGAGAAAGTCAGTAGTGAAGTCACCAACCCTATTGGTAAGAGTGCTGGGACATAAACTTGCTCTCCCAACAAGTCCAGGGATTTTTGCACAAAACCCCGTTTCCTGTTGCCATCCTGAACTAGATCTCTAAGAGTCCCTGGTACTTTTGTTCTGGGTCTCTATTAATATCATACTTCAGCTTCTGTGCAACTCTCAGTCCCATCCGAGAACTATGCTGTGGGGATGCTGATCCCTCTACTCTTAGTTGTTCCAAACACAAAACCTTTATGATATTCGCCAAAACTATTCAGAATGTTCTGAAGTTTTCAGGGAAGTTTACTTTGCCAATATATACACAACATAATGCCCCTGCCTTTAAATGCCTTTCTTTTTCTCAGTAGCCCCGTTTCCCCCCCATATACAACAGGATTCTCTGGAATTTCTGTGTTTTTTTTTTTTTCCTCAACACTTTTCTCACTTCTTTTACATTCCTTGATTTTCCCATTTTCTTCCCAAGTTCAGCCTAAGAAATGAAATCCTCTTAGATAACCATATAGCAAAATTTAGTATCCCGACAACTGCTTACGAGGCTCTATGTGTACTTCTATATAACTAAGATGTGGTGAATTGCTTTGCAAAGCTAAGGGGTATCTACTTTGGATCTCACACTTGAGCAACACGGATGAGTTAAAAGAAATCTCAAAATTTTGCTCTTTTCTTCTCTCTTTGATGCCAATCTTTGCAAGTGAAAAGGAGTTAGACTTCCACTGACATAATGTTACCACAGAAATTACTAAGTTATGCTTGTAAACAAAGCATTTCCCTAGATACACTGGTTATAAAAGAAGGCCGAGACTACGTATTTCCTTATGTAGTTTAATTTTAATTGAAGTAAAAATTCACATATACAAGTACCTTTGACAATAAATGTCATTTGTTTTACTTAAAGCATTTTTACTCTTGAGTTAAAAAATTATCAACAAGTACATAAATATTTCAAATGTACTAAATTATCCTCAGAATGCTTCACAAACGTGCTAAAATGTTTATCTTACTTTTTCTAGAAAATAGTTGACTAAATATTTTCCATAGAGCCTAACCGTTTAAAGTCCATAATACGGAGACATCTGGTCAAAGTGATATAATAAAGCCTAGACATTGCTCTGTTGGAATTCTAATAGTAAGGATGCTCCTGTTTATTGCAGACAGTTTTTTTCCCCCAGATTAAAGATTTAAGGCAGAAATTTTCAGTCTAAAACAAAGCCCATAAGAACATAAAAACAAAAATTTCTTACACATTTTTCTTCAAAGAAAGTTAATCATGCTCCAGGGCCTTTTTCTTTACGTCATTTTTCTTAGTAATTACTTGGTTTTTTTTTGTTTGTTTGTTTGTTTTTTCTGTTTGCTACATAGTTTAAAAAATTGTCATAAGACATAGGATTGTAACAATATGTGGCACAATGTGGGAGATATATTGATAATCACTGGTTGTTAATATTTTTTTTCCACTTATTTTGGCTTTTCTTATGTTTATTTCCCTCTGTACATCTAAAGTACCGCCTGACTCCTTTTCCTAGCTCCAAATTCTTCAAAGTGTCATTGTAATTCATGGGCATTTATAGTGCCCTCCTGTGTTAATGCTGGGTGCTGCTGGGAATGCACTTGGGAATGGAACTGTGTTAGTTAGGATTTTTTTTAATTACATGTGATAGACAATATATTTTAAACAAATTTAAACAAAATGGCCCTGAGTTTGGGCTAGGGAAACACATAATGAAAAGTTCAGGAGTGGAGCTGACTTCAGACTCTGCATGATCCAGGCTCAAACAGTCAGTACCTGGCTTCTCTCTCTCCTGTGGCTTCTTTTGCTCTGTGTTACTGCAATTCCTAGCTGAGCTCTCTTTCAGCATGGCAAGATAGCAGCAGCTCCAATTCCACATCTCTTCAAGTTTGTGTCCAGGATTCACTTTGGATCGTATGATTCAAGAGCCTCTAGCCCCTTTGCTGATGCCAGGGGAACTGGCGTATCTATTGACCTTACAGAAGTGAGTTCTATAAATAGCCTATGTTACATTAGCACAGCCTAGTAATAAAACCAGTGTTTTAAAATAGATTGTGTGTTAGTTATGAACTCATTTTACCAAGTCTAAAATATATGCTGGTAATTATTTTTACCTACAAATGCCCTTGAGGTACAAGAGGGTATAATTTTATGCATACATATTATTTACTTTCTGTACAGTCCATTCTCTGTTCTTTATTTAATAACTCATCACATATAACCTATTGCTTTCCGTGCTCAACTGTATCATTGTTGAAGTTTATGATTTTTTTTCTTTTGCATGTATTTATCACTCAGGTTATTCTCAAACCCAGGATATTTTTGTTGTTCTGTGAGCCATGTTTTCACTTTATGCTTTTTTACCTACCACTGCCCATTGGGGCAGATAATTGGAAGAAGACTACACTATCTGTCACAGTGTAAATACAATGAAAAGTGAACCCATTGTGACTGAGTGATCCTTGCATTCCCAACACACTAATTGCCTAAGGACTTATAGGACAAGAGCACTGGCATAATGCTAATTGTAACTTTGATCACACTGATTTCCAATTTAATGCTGTAAGACTGGAGTTAATTATTACCAGAAAAGCTTGTACATTTTTTCCTAGCCATTTTAACCAGAATTTTAATATACATTTTTAAATTTAGAATTAAAAAATAAACTTATAATATTTTTATACTGTAAATATCATATGTATTGCAAAAACAGATAAATCTGAGGACATCATCTAATTTTGTAGTTTATGTGAATATGTTATTACTGGTGTCCCAAAAGCACAGCATAATATATTCCAAAAACTATTTGTATATTATGATTCTCTTTTTTTGTCTTCAGTGTGCATTTGACTTGATAAAAGTATAACATTTAATATATTTAGTAGAAATAATATTCTTATTTATGTGGATTCCAGTACACCAGGCCCCCTTTTATTATAGAGCTGAGGCCAGAGGAATACATTAATATTTCTTTATATAATTCGGTATTGTACATAGAAACAATAGTTTGATTTCTCACAAGTTTACTGACAACTTCTCCTGCACTTGACATAGGAAAATATTGGAATTTGATGCATATATAAATATATAAATGTTTAAATCTGTTCATAAATTAATATATAATTACATTTAACCTTAATTTTAAAGAATTCATTACTATTTTATTGTTAATTGCTAAAGAATGTGCATTTTATAAATTTAAAGGTAATTCAAAATGAAAAATTAAAATATTTTATTAAATTATTTAAATGTGAAAAAGTTGCATGTGAATACATTTTGATTCTAATAGGAAATATTTTAAAATATTATTACAAAATAAGTGCTACAGAACTTATTCTTTAAAATTTTTTGAAGGTGGGCCAGCCCGGTGGTGCACTGGAGAGTGCGCTGCCTGGGAGCGAGGCGGCGCTCCCGCCGAGGGTTCGGATCCCATGTGGAGACCGGTTCCCGCTCACTGGTTGAGTGCGGTGCGGGCGCAACACCAAGGGTTGCGATCCCATTGCCAGTCTCCGGTGCGGGCGCGACACCGAGGGTTGCGATCCTGTTACCAGTCAGTAAAAAAGAGAAAAAGGAAAAAAAAATTTATTTTGAAGGCATTTATTATAGTATTAGTATAAAAGTAGTGCTTCTTATCACCACAATGAACATACAGATTTCAAAAGGGGAGAAAATCGCATGTCCACAATTGCCACTTGAGTTATTTACATAATTATATCAGTTTTGGAATCAAATTTCTACATCCTAATATAATCTTTTATAGTCTAGTACATATCCTATAGATTTATCTTTTACCATACTATTTTTACACATTCTTTAATATTCATATTTGCTTCCATAATGTCAAAGAATATAGTTATTACATGAATGTGTGTATAATGTGCATGTGGGTGTCTGTTAAGGCCAGATGCAATAGCAAGTGAAAGCATACCAAAGGAAGTTTTATTTTTCATTGTGTAGTTCATTTTCCTCTATCTCAAGCATGATCATATAACCTAACATTCAAATTAACTAGAAATATTTCTCTCTTGTAGTTGTCATTACATGTCAGTCTAGGAAATGAGTAGAAGAGAAGGTGGAAGTCATGCTGACTGGTGATTTTTTAGGAGAAAATCCAACCCCAAAAGAGACAGATTTTTTAGTGATTCCAAAAAGGAAGTTCAGATATTTCTTATGAAGATTTACATGGTAAGAGAACCACATTTATGGATATAAAAAATGATAATAAATACACGCTCAGTTTCCTTGAATTGCAGGTTGCTGATTTCTCATGAAGATCTATGCCCATTTAAGTTTCATTTACAATGTAAATTCAAGTAGTGCTTAAGGAGTCCACTGTTGTTATGTTTGTTGTCTTCACATAGTAGTTAGCTCAAAAATGGCAACAGTTATGGTTATTCCTGGATTTATAAGACATATGTTGTAATTCTGTCAACAGAGAAAGGAGAGAAAACTGTAGTAACTATAATATCCACAATCCTTTAGTTTTAATTTCTTCTTTTACTCTGTCTTCTGATTTAAGGAATATGATTGAAGTCATGACTTGCAGTTTTAAATTTAGAAACAAAACCTTTAATAAATTGTTTCTATTTAAAGAAATGGAAAAATTGGCACAAATTAGATATAATACCCAAATAAACTTTGTATAATAAAGTTTATTGCATGCATTTACTGTATATTTCAGCTTTCTATATAAAAATGTGCTATCTTGCTTTTAATAATCAAAATAACTTAAAATGTTACCTAATTCTCCCATTATGTGGTGTATCACTTGAAATAAATAATATGGCACCAAGTGACGTCAGAAGCATGGCAGAGTAGGGACCCTGGACCTTCCTTCCACCCACAAAGACACCCATTCAGCAATATTCATAAACAAATTTCATTTGTGAGACAACAGAAACTAACTGAAAGGCCCCTGCACCTCTGATGAATGTGAAACCAAACTCACCAGAGCCTGTAGTGAGATTTAAGACTCCCTCTTGCTAAAGATCCTGCCCCTGGCACAGGGTCTTCTTGTGATTTTGGCTTTGGCAATGATTTCATGGATATAAAACGAAAAAGTACAGACAGCAAAAAAAAAAAAAAAAATAAGTGGGGCTATATCAAACTCAAAAGCTTATTTACATCAAAGGAAATACTCAATGACAAGGTAAAAAGGTAACCTATGGAATGGGAGAAAATATTTGCAGATTGTGTATCCAATAAGGGTTTAATATAAAAAAGTAAGGAATTTTATAACTCAATAATAAAAGAAAATTAGTAAGCTGATTAAAAATAGGCTAAAAAAATTGAATAGACATTTCTCCAAAAAAGACATGTAAATGACCAATAGCTGTATGAAAAATGGTCAATATCACTAATCATCAGGGGTAAATATAAATCAAAACCACAATGAGATATCACCTCACACCTGTGGGAATGGCTATTATCTAAAAAACAAACAAACCAGAAAATAAGTGCTGGCAAGGATGTGGGAAAATTTGAGCCCTTGTACACTGTTGGTGTGCAATGCAAAATTGGTGTTAGAATGCTAAATGGTTTAGCTGTTGTGGAAAGCATCATGAAAGCTTCTCATAAAATTAAAAACAGAACTACCACATGATTCAGCAATACCACTTCTGGGCATTTATCCAAAATAATTGAAATTAGAATCTTGAAGAGATATATGTGCTTCTACATTCGTTGCAACATTATTTACAATGGCCAAGATATGGAAACAATCTAAATGTCCTTTGACAGAAAACTGGATGAAGAAAATGTGTGTGTGTGTGTGTGTGTGTGTGTGTGTATGAAATGGAATACTATTCAGCCTTAGAAAAGAAGGAAACTCTATAATATGTGACAAAATGAATGAATCTGGAGGACATCATTCCAAGAGAAATAAGCCAGTCACACAAAGACAAATGCTCCATTATACCACTTACATGATAAATTTAAAGTAGTAAAAATTTTACAAGCAGAGAGTGGAATAGTTGTTGCCAGGGTCTGGAGGAAAGGAGAAATAGGGAGTTGTTCTCTAATGGGTATAAAGTTTCAGTTGTGAAAGATGAATAAGTTCTAGAGATCTGTTGTACAGCATAATGCCTATAGTTAAGAATACTGTATTGTGTACTTAAAAAATTTCTTAAGACAGTAATATCTCCTGTTACATTAATTGTCAAAAAAGGTAAAGAAATACTTATATATACTAAGCATTTTAATATGTTTTCTCTACTTTAAATCGCTTAAGTTGTATTGTCAGGTTGCAAACTAAAAACAATTATAATTTTGATCATATAAATTGACTAAAAATTATTACCTGAAAAATTCCACTTCCTTCTAGATATTCAGGGTCTATAAGAAAGCTGCCAGCATCATACTGGGAACATTGAAAGTCATATTAGGAAAACAATCTCTCTCAAATAGCTCTTGAAAATACACATTTGGATATAGTTCTTATTTTAATGTTTCATTACTTTTCATAAATAAAAGAATAGTTAATATTGAAAATAACTAAATGGAAGGTTTTCAGGCTTATCTCCACCCATCATTCTCTCTAAAATGCCTGTTTTCTCTGCTCAATGCCACCAAACACAACAAGCTCATCTTTTTTTTGGCTAAATACATTTTAATTTGTGAATCTTCTTTTTTGTTCTCCTAGAGTATGTCCTGCTATACAGAAGTACAATAATCTAATCCCCTCTCAATTTTAATATTTTGCTGTCTCTATGGTACCTGAATATTTGATGAGATGAGTTGACCTTGTCTTCTCCTTAAAGGCATGTGGCAATAACTTGGTGTCTTTTCTTGCCCTTATTCCAAGGGTATAACCAACTTGTCTTCAGTCTCTGTAAGTCTTTCTGCTTTCTCCTTCCTTCAGATCAATTACTTTATGAAGGGACAAGTCTGACCAGAAAGTCTGAATACTATTTTAGACTTTAGTATATGCCAAAGCAAATGAATGTCTTTTCCCCTGTGTGTAACTTAATTACATTTTACACTGCACATTAAATAGTGTCCAAAAAAGTCGAGTTTACCATTCTGTTTTGTACTTTTTATCTCTTAAATCCCTTATGGTAGAAATTAAAGCACTATACTTTGCAGCTTGGACTCTGATAGGGTTTTAGGAGTGATAATTAATCACATCCTTCCTTCCCTCATCCTAGCTTAAAACCAAAAGAGAAGCAGATGTAGAATGAGGCATATATAAATCAAAATGTCAGGTTTATTAATTAGAAAGGTGAATTGGAAAGTGACTTTGAACTATGGACTTATATGGCTTATTAATACCTTCCAACCTAAATTGAATGCCTTGGTGCCAAACTGGCCAGCTGTAGACACCCTGCAGAGACAAACCACCTCTTCATGAAGGAGGAGAAGAAAGTATGAATCCTGATTCAAGACATTGGAAAAGAAAGAGAAGGGCCTGCTCATCTGCTCATCTTTCTTTCCCTCACTCTAGTAAATAGATCACATGTGTTTCTTTTCCTCCCACGGCAAGTCATGATGAGGGAGGCAGATTGAAACTGAGCTTATTTTCCTCCTGTGCTTTTCCCTTCTCGGGAGTCAATAGACCTCCCTATGTAAACCTGACAGGTAGGTGATGAGAACCCCCAACATTTCCTTTTCGTTATCCTCTCTTTATTTTCATCATATTCTTTCCCTCAGTTCAATAAAACTCTCAAGTGTCATTAATTGGAAATGTGAGGACCTCTCTGCTCTCTCTACCCTGACTCCTCACACATATCATTGAATTAACCAGAATTGATCACTTTTTTATCTTTATCATTTGAAAATAATGTATCAAACATCTTCACTGTTGTATATTATGCTTAGCCCCAGAGTTGCCAAAATTAACAAGACACAGACCCTGTTGTTAAGGGGTTCAATCAACATCTATTTAAGATGTTATATTTATGTACCTGTACTATTTTTTTTTTTTTTTGTCTTTTTGTCTTTTTCCGTGTCCGGCAATGGATCGCAACCCTCAGTGTCGCCCCCATACCGGACCGGGGACCAGCAACGGGATTGCAACCCTTGGTGTTGCTCCCGCGCCTCGCTCAGCCAGTGAGCGGGAACCGGTCTGTATGTGGGATCCGAACCCTCAGGCAGGAGCGCTGCCGTGCTTCCCAAGCGGCGCACTATCCAGTGCGCCACCGGGCCGGCCCGTACCTGTACTATTTAAGTTAATCAATATTGCCCTACTAGGATACTATTATATTTGGACTTTTAGATTGTTTTGCAACGTCACTTCTATAAGATTACAGATCATTCTCTGTTGGCAGGATTTTCCCTATAATTGTATTTTTTCTATGAAAGAAGCTCATTGTCCATGCATTCTTTGTGCGTTGCTAGGGATTAGTTAGTGACTTTCTCTGTGCGTTTTTTTGTCTGGGAGTAGTTTTACCATCTAACTGCATATCAGACTCAGGCTTCTTCTTTTTATTTTCCAGGCGTTCTATAGCTCAAGGCTGTTGTTCTTTGATGACCCTGTTGTCTTTTATGTGTCTGATTTGCTGATTTATGGGTCACACTGGTCTCAATTCACCCTAGGCCAGTCATTTCACTGTGTCTTGTTTGCATACAGTATGTAAACTTCCATGTCGGGTTTACGGGTTTGTTTTATAATCACAAACAGCTCCTGAGAAACCTGACATTGGTCCTCTCGTGACCCTACATTGACCTCCAGCCCTTGGCCTTTTGCTCTGTTACTATTCACTTTGTTTTCTCTGACCAATTCACTCCATCAAGGCTTCTGTCTTACCCACTCTAATAGGACTTCCCTTTACAAGATTGCCAACCTTATGCAGTTTGCCTGATGCAATGGATATAAAATTTGTGCTCTGAGATTACTCTGCCTGTCAGCAGCATATACCAGCTGATCAAGTTGAAGTACTTTCTGCTCTTGGCTTTAATGACAACTGTCGCTTCTTCATCTCTGTTGTTTGCTCCTCTTCCTCTGACCAGGATCTAAATGTTTGAGTGTCCCAGGGCCCTTCCCTGAAGGCCATTAATTTCCTATATACAGGATGTCCTGCTCACTTCCAGACAATGATGCTAATTGTGCCATATGATAAGCCTGTCATATCCTAGGTGGTAAACTGTGAAGTAAGACAGCTTGAGTTCTTTCATTTACTAGGACCTTGTGAAAATTATTTTGCCTCACTGTAAACTCAGTTTCTTCAACTTTAATGT